ATCCACTCTCCTCAGCCTCCCAAAGTGCTGGGATTACAGGCTGAGCCACCGAGCCCGGCCGATATTTCATCTCTTGAATCGCAACACTCTTATACACAGAAAATAATAGCTATTGGCATCTTTGAAAATATTTTTTATATTTAATTAAGCTTTAAGCTGTTGTAAGAAAAAAGTCTCTCTTATATACTACTAGATGGAATTATAAATTCATAGCACTTTACAAGATGAAAATTTGATGATATTATGATACACATAAGAAGTCTGAGGTGAGTGGATTGCCTGAGCCTGCGGGTTCGAGACCCGCCTGGGCAGGCGAGACCACCTCTCTACAATAAATGAAAAAATCAGCCGGGCGTGGTAGCGCGCGCCTGTAATTCCGGCTACTCGGAGGGGTGAGGCGGAAGGATCGCCGGAGCCCAGCAGGTCGAGGCTGCGGTGGCCAGGAGCGGCCACTGCACTCCAGTCTGGGTGACAGAGCGAGACTCCGACTCAAAAAAAAAGACAATCAAGATGTTCTGAAGGAATCTTGCAGTGTTAGATTTTACCCTGAACTTCTGCCCGTTTCTGTTAACTCGAGAGGGACACACTGGCTCCCTGCACAGACTCAGAAAAGGAGATCCAATGCAGCACTGCACATATTCGGTCTTGCAATTCCTCTCAGAGGTTCCTGAGGCTTGGCTCTGACTTCAGAACTAGACTGAGAACACCCGAGGGCAGCCAGCCTCCCTCAGTACATAGAGCCCAAAGGCACCGGCTCTGGGATGTGACAGGGTGTGACACCACCACCTACTCCCGATGGGACTGTCCACCAGTCTCAGTTTTCTCATCAGTAACTGAGGAAAATACCCAACCTTGGTAGAATGGGGGGGAAAAAAGGAAGATGCACACAGTATTAGATTGAACCATTTGAAAATCACCAATATTTGACCTACCAAAAATAGCAATCGCAAGTGATGGAACCTAGTCTGAGCATGGGACCCGTCACAGTGATCGTTTGGTGACAGGTGCTCTTAGGAGTATCCGGCAGTGTGGCGCCATGGTAAGTCCTCCCTGAATCAGCATCGATCACTTTGGGCTTATCATTGATGTAAGAGCTTATGAAATGGAGGCCCTGCCCCTGCAAAGTCTCATCATTCCTTTAACACCGAATTACCCGTAAGTAGCAGGCATGGTGCTTAGGCAGCCAGAACGCAAACATGGAGAAAAGAGAACCCGTCAATACGCACACGCTCACAAGGCCCAGTGGGCTGGGAAAGGATTGCAATGCCTGTGACAGAGTGTGAGGATGGGGACTCTGCTGACATAGAAGGAAGGAGGACTGTTTACAGCACAGCAAGGTCGGGGCGCCAAGGAAGGGGTGGCCAGTGAGCTGGCAGTTACTGGGCTCTCTCTGTGTACCAGGCGCTGTTCTGAGTTTTTTATATAATTGCATTAGTCCTTCAAATAATACCAGAAGATGCTGTATTCTCACCCCCGTTTTGCAAACACGAATATTGGAGAGTAGTGAGATGATTTGCTCCAGATCACACTGCGAAGAAGTGGCAGTGCTGGGATTTGAACCCAAGGATTCTGACGGCAGAGCCAATGGGAAGAACCATTATGCCAACACGGGGAAGTGGCATAAGAGTCAAGGAACATGTGCTCAGTCCATGACCTCCCTTCCTCCGTCCCAGAAACGCAGTGAGGCCATTTTTTTTTCTTGAGTTGGAGTCTCACTCTGTTGCCCAGACTGGAGTGCAGGGGCATGCTCCCGGCCACCGCAGCCTCGATCTGCTGGGCTCTGGCGGTCCTTCTGCCTCAGCCTTCCAAGTAGCTGGAACTACAGGCGCGCACTACCACGCCTGGCTAATTTTTGATTTATGGTAGAGACGAGGTCTCGTCAAGTTGCCCAGGCTGTTCTCGAACCCGTGGGCTCAGGCAATCCCCTCACCTCGGCCTCCCAAAGTGCTGGGATTACAGGCTGAGCCACCGAGCCTGGCCCATTTTTAATTCACAGTGTTGCTGCTGCTCTGAGGACACTGGCTGGTTGGCTGTGGTGGAGCGACAAGGGTCTCTAACCAACGCCTCTGAGGGTCACTTTCAGTGGATTCATCCAACCAGAACACAAAGTCCCTGATGATGAAATGTGGTTAAGGCTCAATCTTCCTCTTAAGGGAAAGCCACATTCCAGATGGCCAGGAAGCGGCCCCCTTTCCCCTGCAGAAGCTGTGGAGCCTGGAGCAGGGAGTCTCTCTGAATCCTCTGGGTGAACTGCTGGGGTGAGGAGCAATTGTAGTGGCCGAAGAAGAGAGGAAACGCTTGACTTTCCTTTCCCTCATCTACCTGCACATCGCACGCATGCATGAAGAAGAGGGGGATGATTCTTTCAACCAGAGTTCCTAGCAAGTCCCAGGCACTGAACTTGGTACTGCAGATAGCACGACAAATAAGAGCCTATCCTTCCCAAGCGGCATACAGTCCAGAGTGAGGGTGTCCCCAGACAAACAATGACAGCAGACTGGGCCGTAAGTGCTGTAATACCAGGAGGCATGAGGGGCCATGGGACCAAAAGGTAGGGAGAATCTGAGCCCATCTCGAAAGAGCCAGACAGGTGGGAGGATGACCAGGAAAGGATGATGCAACGGAAACCAACAGAAGACACGGTTTTTAAAAGGAGGGCGTTGTCGACGGTGCCCTAAGCCACAAGAGAACAAGTATAACGAGTCTTGGAAAGTATTCTTAGGATCTCACGACTCTGGCCCAAATGGTCTCGGTTGAGTAGAGGAAACAGAATCCGACTGCAGTTGGAAGAGAGGCCGTGGAGGCCGACATGTGACTGCAAAGGGTTGGTAGAGGGTTGAGGGTGGAGCACGGCAGATCCGTGGGACTGACCGACCCACCGATGCGGGCTGTCAGTGGTTGTCTGGGTTTCAGCACTGAAAGTCCTGCACCTTGGGAAACCTCGGTCCTGAGCTAGCCAATCATAGGATGGCTGAGCACTTTACTGCCACCCACGAAGCCCCCTTAAAAATCCCTCCAAGAGCCAGGCTTGGTGGCTCAGCCTGTAATCCCGTGCCTTTGGGAGGCTGAGGTGAGTGGATTGCCTGAGCCTGTGGGTTCGAGACCTGCCTGGGCAGGCGAGACCTCATCTCTACAATAAATCAAAAAAATTAGCCGGGCATGCTAGCGTGCGCCTGTAGTTCCAGCTACTTGGAAGGCTGAGGCGGAAGGATCACCGGAGACCAGCAGGTCGAGGCTGCGGTGGCCGGGAGCGGCCACTGCACTCCAGTCTGGGCGACAGAGTGAGACTCCAACTCAAAAAAAAAAAAAAAAGCCTTCCAAGATGATCAGGGACAGCTGCAAGCAGTCTGTGACTCAACAAGTCAGGCCAGGAGACCCAGGGACTAAAAGTCCCTTTTACAAATATCCTGAACTTTCTCACCCATGGAAGACAAAGACGAGACCAACAAGATACTTGTGGCCAGAGGACACTGATTTGTTCACTCATTCTAAAACCTTTTATTTGCATCTGATGCGTCCCAAGGTTCTGTGTGACTCTGGACATTTGCTTAATCAGGTTACTCTGTAAGTTCATTCCGGTGGACCCCAAGGCCATGGGAACATGCTTCTTCTCATCAGACTACCCTAGGGTGATCCTGAATTTCCCAGTTTGCTCCATAATTTTATTACACTTATTATTA